TTTTTTTTTTTTTTTTTTTGGGATGGGTGAAGTTGGGTTGATGCTCATGTAGATTGAATTTAGTTGTAGTATTTGATGACGAATCTGGGTTTTTTTTAGGTAGCTTTTGTATGGGGTCAAAGGTTCTCATGGATCGGTGGTCTGTGGCGGCGATCTTCTACTCGGGCTGTCTCTGTTTGGTTCTGCTGTTTGGTAGGTTGTCGCGGATTTGTGCCAATGGTGAAGGTCTGAAATTTTTGCTTTCTGATTAGTTGTTTATCGACTTCTTTTAAGTGTTTTTGAACTCCGATTTCATTTTCGGGTGGTGAGATTTCTGTAACCATTACTGGTGGGCTTGGGATGAGATAAGCAGTGGTGTTCATGGATTGTCCCTTTTCATACGATTTTAGGATTTTGTTGGTATTAAAGACTAATTTCAATATCATAGATATTTGGATCATCGACTTACCGAATGGCCGATTTTGTAAGAAAAATTATTTTAATTTGTTGGCTAGCTGAAAGCTGGATGAGTTTCAGTCTATCTGGAAAATGTGACTTTGACTGAAATATTTATGTTGTGCATGAATGACTAGTTATTTGATGGTTTTATACAGTTTACTTGTAGCCTAGCTTCAGTTTGAACATTGAAATGTTCAAATATATATCAACTGTCTGTGGCAGGTGACGCGTTGAATGCATTGAGGAGTAGCTTGTCTGATCCTAACAGTGTTCTATCGAGTTGGGACCCCACTCTTGTTAATCCATGCACTTGGTTTCATGTTACATGCAACAGTAACAATTTTGTTACTAGAGTGTAAGCACGATTTGTTCTGTTCCATGTCGACACGCCCTATTGACCTCTTGCTGCGTTATCAGGATGATATATATAAGTATTGATGTTCTTTTGCAGTGATCTTGGCAATGCAAATTTGACGGGCCAGCTGGTTCCACAGCTTGGTCAGCTCCAATATCTGGAGTACTTGTGAGTTATGCTTTACTGATATAAAATAATTTATCATTTGCTTTTGGGTTGCTTGATTTTACTTCAAATGGCACTCTATTATTCCTCAAGGATTGGAAGGTCATGATTCATTATGACTATGTTAGATGTATTATATGCAGTCGTATATCTTGTATTTATGTTCTAATTTTGGTGAAGCTCACCAGCTTTTATTGGTTATAGGAAATTCGATAATGTATTACTCGATTAATAAACAACCTGCTCGGGTAAACCTTTATGCCTGTCCCAATGAGGACAATGTGCTAAACTTAATATAATATTTCACTAAAATTGTAAGATATTACAACTCTGTAATTTAGGCTATGTTTGGTAAACTAACTAATTAGTTATAAACTAGCTTATAGCTTATATGTGATTTTCTAGCTTATAGCTTATGACTTATAACTGAAAAGCTAGCTTATATGATAAAATTGTTTGGTAAAATTAGCTGATAAGCTAGCTGAAATAAAAAAAATTCAACGAGCTTATTTGAAATGCTACCCAAAGAAGCTTATGAGATAAGCTCGAACTTTTTAAAAAAGATCGTCTTATAAATACAGGAAGTTTATAACATAGCCTTAATGTAAATGGCATGTAGTACATAAAGTCTTAAAATAGTTTATCGTACATTTATGACCAACCTATAAAGGCTTCCATTGCAAACGAGAAAAAAAAAAAAAAGAAAAAAAATCTCATGATATCCTTTGCTTTTTTTCCATGGCAGGGAACTATACAGTAATAGAATTAATGGGAGGATTCCAAGTGAACTCGGAAATTTGACCAACTTGGTTAGTTTGGATCTCTATCTGAATAACCTAAGTGGTCCAATACCTGATTCATTGTCGAACATCCAGAGACTACGATTCTTGTATGGTCTCGATTCCAGATTGTCGCTTTCTTCTCATTATGTTTTTCCTGGTTTTTGGGTAGGATTTTATCATTATTTCTAGATGGCGGGGAATTTTGATTGTTTCGGTTTTAAATGCGGAGTAGAATGATTGAAGGCCCTACTAGGATATTTCTTTTCATCAGTAATTAAAACCATCATGCTTTTTGCAACAGTAGGAATGTTTTGAGGGCTACAATAGCATGTTCATTATGACCAGTGTCAGTCTTGCTCTCATAGAAGTCTTTAAATGTATGAGAGTGTGGTTCCACTTTCGGGCAAGAAATAAATACGCTTAACTTTTTTTTTTTTTTTTTTCCTCTTTTCTTTTGCTTTTTTGGCTGTTGCATTGTTCTCTTGCCAAATGAACAATATCGGTTGATGCATTAGATGACAGTAACTATAACTCATTGGCTGAACAATGAAAAAAATGCTTTACTTTGTTTTCAGAGTAACTGTTATTGAAGTTGTTTCAGAGTTTATAGGGTTTCAGACTTTCTGTGTTTTGCATGAGTTGGATGCTGTGGTTGACTCCACAGGAAGCAAAGTTAATACCGAGAAACATTTTACTTTTTAAAGCTAGACAGGTGATTGTTCAAAATGGGAACACTAAATTTCTGATAAGATGTATGTAAATCCATATTAAAGACAATGGGGATTCAAGTATTTTTTTTTTTTTTTTTTTTTTTTTTTTTTTTTTTTTTTTTTTTTTTTTTTTTTTTTTTTTTTTTTTTTTTTTTTTTTTTTAACTTCTGTCCTTGACAGCGTACAACCTTGCAAATAAATGATGAAAACTTTGACTTCATACTCTTATCTGTTTGGGTGCTATTTTGAAAGTAAATGTGCTTTTGCCATGCAATGATACAGGCGGCTCAACAATAATAGTTTGACTGGACAAATTCCAGTTTCTCTAACTAGCATCAATACCCTTCAAGTCCTGTAAGCAAGATTCAACTGACCATCGTTTATCTTTTGTGTGTGTGCGTGCGTGTGTGCTATTATTTTGGTGTTTTGTGCTAATATGTTTTCTCATGTTCAATACATGCAGTGATCTTTCAAATAATCGGCTCACTGGACCAATTCCAGTGACTGGATCCTTTCAGCTTTTCACGCCTATCAGGTTTATTGCGATTCTTATGCTTTTAATAGTTTTAAATGCGGTGATCTTTCTCTATTTTATTGCTGACATTTGACTTTCTGTCTTTAAGTTTTGCGGGTAACAATTTGGATTATAGTTCGATTACCAATAGAACACCTCCAGCTGCACCAGCACCCCCAGCTGCTTCTCCAGGTACATCCACTTCTACTTTTCTTTTCTTTTTTTTTTTCTCTGAGTTTTCTCCTACCCAAATCTTTTAGGAATGATGAAGTTTCTTTATTTAGTTTGATAAATATAATATGAACTTTTGGAGGTCATAGATGTTTAACATCTACAAAAACTTGCATCTGCTATCCAGAAGCGATAGCATTTGATAAATACAATGCATTCGACCTCTTTTTATCCCAGCTTATTTAGGATCTGTAGTTTAGGCTATTTCAATTTCGTGCTGCTAAAAGGTACAAATGTGCTCCAGACAGTTTTCTTTACATTATGAATGCAACTGGTCAGCTGTTACTCTAATCTGTGAGCTTTAGGAGATCACCAGTTATCATATTGACAGAGAATATATACAATATAAAATAGAACACATCATAATCTGGTAAGAGAACAAATGTGGCAAATAAATTCCTTAAAATCAGCCAAGACATTGATTCTAGAAGGTATTTTTGTTTTATTCCAATATTTTCTAAATCAATTGCTGAAATCCATAATTGGAATATATGAATTGTTTCAAATGTGAATAAACCGCAAGCCTTACAGTTAAAAGTATCTTTGCAGTTGGAGCTAGTACTACTGGAGCCATTGCGGGTGGGGTTGCCGCGGGGGCTGCCCTTCTGTTTGCTGCTCCTGCAATGGCACTCGCCTGGTACCGGCGAAAGAAGCCCCAAGATCATTTCTTTGATGTTCCCGGTTAGTGGAGTAATGATAAATGTCATCATAAAGAGAGATGGAATACAATAACCATCCCCATGATATAAACCAAAATGCATAAAATCTTTATTTATCCTTATAAAATTATGAATGTGCCTTGAAGTGTTACAGATACCCCTTGAGTTTTAATAAAAAATAAACACCGCTCATTAGTGCAATTTAGCAAATTTGAAACACATGTCGAGAAACATTTGTAATCTCTAAAAGATCACTGGGGTTTTACATTATTTTGTTTTTAATTATTATTTGGCTATAATGCGACTATGCGAGGATAGTTTTTGCAATGAACCAGAATTTATTATCAATGTTCATTTTTATATGTGTGTGTGTGTAATTGCAGCTGAGGAGGACCCAGAAGTACATTTAGGCCAACTTAAAAGATTTTCCCTACGCGAGCTCCAAGTTGCGACAGATAATTTTAGCAACAGGAATGTGCTTGGCAGAGGCGGTTTCGGCAAGGTATACAAAGGGCGGTTGGCAGATGGATCTCTGGTGGCTGTCAAGAGGCTAAAAGAAGAGCGTACGCAAGGTGGGGAGCTTCAGTTCCAGACGGAAGTAGAAATGATCAGCATGGCCGTGCACCGAAATCTACTCCGGCTGCGTGGTTTTTGCATGACGCCTACAGAAAGGCTGCTTGTTTATCCATTCATGGCCAATGGGAGTGTCGCATCATGCTTAAGAGGTAGTCAACTTTTCTCTCCACTTGAAAATGCTATTATGTTAGTTTTCGATGTCCATTTCCGGATAGAAATGATATCAGATTTTCTTTTTTCCCAGATATACCAAATTTATTGGGCAGTTTTTTGGATATTGTTTCACTGGTTTCGGCTGTGATGAATGATGAGAAATAAGGTTAATTGCAAAAAGTACTCCTGAGCGGTTTAGCTTAATTACAACGGTAAACAAGAAACTTTAAAGGGGGTGCTTAAATGGTACAAATTGGTTTTATGATTCTTAGGAATGCCAAGTTTCAGGTTTAGTTTCTATTCAAAAATTGCCTCTGAAGTCTGGGGTTATTGCAAAAACAGACAACCTGTGAAGTTTCAAAATTGCAGAACTTACCCCTACAGTTGGGTTATGTGCCAAATGTAAGAGTACAACTGTAATAGCTTGAAAATGGGAAAGGGATGTCTGAAATCGTTTGGCTTCAGAGTGTTGAGTTTACTGGAGTATCGTCTCTCACGATTCCATTTTTTTCCATTTTTTTGTCCATTGTAAATGATGCTGGAAGAGTCATTGTTGACAATTCTCCTGGCATAGTGCTAATAATGGACAAGATCAAAATGGCTCAATTAATTTCTAGTGCTTCTATTAGTGAAGTTTCTAGAAAAAAATATATCAAACGACGCAATGCACCTTGGGTCGCTACGGAAACAGCCTCCTTGTATAATTACAAGGGTAAGGTCTGCGTACAACTTACTCCCAGACCCTAACCTGTTGGGAATATACTGGGTATGTTGTGATATGTTGTGATTGTGGTAATTATAAGGGAACCTCTGGGCCTACTGTAATTAAGAAAGATATTGGGGGCAGTTTTTACTAATCACCCTTTCCATTTCTATTTATTCCTGAAAAGTAGTAAGGTGCGACGGTTGGATATTCTTTCATTAATGAAAATTCTTTCACTGGAGAAAGTGTTCGGAAAAATATTTTGGAAGATGTCATTGATGTAATACAGAATTGTAATGATTAATGTTGGGATGCGGTGAAAAATGAACTATTTTGTGATAGTTGTGAGTGGGTGGATAGTAAATATTTTAGAGATGTGTGGTAGTGATTGATTTTTATTAAAAAATTTATTGAGAATTGATGATTAGTGCATTTTTTCTTTGAGGAATTAAAAGTCTACTTCCGTTGATGTCCAATCGTGCGCCAGTATAGAAACCTGCTAGGGCCTGAATCACTACTTATCTTATATCTACATGCTTTATTTTCATTACTGCAGAAAGAAAAGAATCAGAACCTCTACTCGATTGGGCTATAAGAAAACGGATAGCACTTGGTTCCGCAAGGGGACTTGCTTACTTGCACGACCATTGTGATCCCAAAATCATCCATCGTGATGTGAAAGCTGCCAATATACTATTGGATGAGGACTTTGAAGCAGTCGTTGGTGACTTTGGGCTGGCCAAGCTCATGGACTACAAGGACACTCATGTAACGACAGCCGTACGGGGAACAATCGGTCATATAGCCCCAGAGTACTTGTCCACGGGAAAATCCTCCGAGAAAACTGATGTGTTTGGCTACGGGGTCATGCTTCTTGAGCTCATAACTGGACAGAGGGCTTTTGATCTGGCTCGTCTTGCAAGTGATCATGATGTCATGTTACTTGATTGGGTGAGATTCACTTCACATATGCTTTACATACCGTTGAGTAAAAATTTCATTTGTGGCATGTTGGGTTGGTTTGTTTTCAATTCTTGAGTTCATTTCTAAGAGAAATTACATATTAATTTGGTGGTGCTGGTTATGGCATTCGGAATAGTTGGCGTATTCTTATTTCTAGGATGTGAAAATAATATTTTAGAAGTAAGCAGCATGTAACCACTATGTTTAAGCATATCCCAAGTACTTTTTTTTGCTGATTTATTTACTTGATGGATCATCCCGAATTTAACCATATTTTTAGATAGACTATTTGGTCAAAAGGAAAATCCGTTCATCTTTCAAAGTTGCAAATGTCCACTAATTATGTTGTATTTGCAAGGATGGTTTGGGTTTTGTTAATCTCCAAAATCATCTCTCTTTCCGGAGCACTATTTCGCAGGATCATGAGATGTTACATTTTTAGTCATCACTATTTTGTGTGGACAATAGGTAAAGGGACTTTTGAAAGAAGAACAGCTGGATATATTGGTAGATGCAGATCTTGAGGGGAACTTCATAAAGGTGGAGGTGGAGCAGCTGCTTCAGGTGGCCCTACTCTGCACACAGAGCTCCCCAACCGAACGTCCCAAGATGTCTGACGTTGTGAGAATGTTAGAAGGTGACGGGCTGGCTGAGAGGTGGGACGAGTGGCAGAGGGAGGAAATATTCCGGCACGAGTTCAGTCAGTCGCATAATCCCACCACCGACTGGATAATTGCCGATTCCACTTATAATATTCGGCCGGATGAGCTTTCGGGCCCCAGGTGATGATTATATTTGCTTCTTCTTATCTCTTCTTTCTCAACTCTTATTAAAGGGAGATAAGCTCTGTATATAGTACATGATTTTCTTTTTGTTTGTCTAGCCAAATTTTCATACTTGTTTTTTTCTTTTCGAGAGATGTTTTAATTTAAATGCACTGCAGAGATTGTGGTGAGGACATCAGTTTGTAGTTTATTTACCAACACTGTAACATTCTCTATAGTGAACATATGAAATCTTTTAAATCACTTGTATTATTATAAGCACCATCATGTCGGCCACCCACTCTTAAAAAGTGAGTTAAATAAGCTAGAACTTTTAATTCCCAAGGTAAATGAGAATGTATAAAACTCAACTCATATATTTAAAGTTACTAGTAAAGTGCACGTGGCGATGCACGTGATACTCGACAAGATGAGCATCAAATTTAATCATCAGAAAAAAAAAGAGTTGCCAACAAGTAAACTAAAATCAGAGATCATACTATTGCAAGAATATAGTTAGCTCGAAATCAAATTAGAGCCGAAGCACTCTCAACGTACCTAAATATCTAAAAACGAACATCAAACACAAACAAAAGTCCACGAAACAAAAAAACGCCGCAACTGATGATCTCAATGTAATGAATTAAGGCACATGGCAATAGAAACTGTAAGAATGGAGAAATAAAGTGACGCAGCCGGCAGCAGGGACGAGCCCGAGATGGCAGGCGAAGGGGACGGGGATAGTTGAGTGGCTGCATTCACTATCAGTGGCCTCTGATGTACAGGTGATGGAGGGACAGCTTTATTATAAGCTACGCAAAACATTACATAAACTATGTTATAAAGTACCGGTTTCAATTATATGCTTTAATCAACAATAAGACAATTAAAACCCATCAAAAATGTCAATAATTAATAACACTCTTTACATATCAACAATAAGACAAAAACCGATCAAAAATGTTAATCATTAACACTCTTCACACATAATCTGTCTTTCGAATTTAATTTTGTTTCATTTTTTTTTCTTGATAATATCACTCCATAGTTTTAATCTACAACGGGATCATCACGACTAAGAGCAGTTCGTTATCGAGGGAAAACTATCACATTTGAATAAACAAATGAAAATTCATTTCCGGGGGAGAGAGAC